AATATTTCCTTTGTGTTCATTTCTTGGGACATGACATCAAAATCAGATGGTGTTTTGATGTTCCCAGTGGGTAGGAGATTAAAGTGACCAGCGAAGCTGACTGCATAAATATCTTGCTGTAGTGGTGAGAGGGACCTGCTGCTGTAACTTTATGAGGTAAAACCTAATGGTTGGGAGAACCATGAGGACTACAGAAAAGTTCTTTTTCCTATCTTGCCAAATTCTGAACTCTGACTCTCTTCAAATAAAGTATCTTCACTTATCTCTGGACTAAAGCAAACAAATTAAATAAAAGAGATGGACAATATAACTGGTTTCTCTGTGTAGCAAACTGCCCGTTCTGCCTTCTGAGTAGAATGTTTGTTACTTTGGACTGAATTGCTAACACATACTGCTTCCTCTCCATGGCTCAATCAAAGACTTGTGAAGACAATGATAGAGTGATTTATTCTTTGTTTCCCTCTAGAATAGGGGCTGTAAATTAAAGCTGTAATTAAATCCTAGAGTGAGGAGATGCCCACTTCACTTCTGTTGTGGATAAACAGTTCAGACATTGTTTCTCTACTAAGTCATTGAACTGTTCCAGAATGAGGGTCAATGGTCACATTTTAAAACAACACCTGTGGCTTTCTCTACTTCCAAATAAATACCAGCTTCACTCCTCTATTTTAAATGATTTAAAGCTCACTTTTGTACAAATAACACACACTTCACAATTATTTCCTCTTTGTCCTCAGATTTAAATCCTACCAAGACTATTTTATAATCTCTAACTCTTTAAAATATTTATCAGCTTATTAATTGTTGTAGCTTTTGAAGGCCTTATCTCTACTCTGTATTTCCAAAACAGTTCTTTTGACCCCTGTCTAACCCTTATCACAGGACTATGGGAAGAAACACTGTCTCAGCAGTGTGATTTTTCAGTATTAAACAAATGTAAAATTTAGGGAAAGGGAAGTGCAACATCTCTCATTAGAAACAAAATTAGCCCTGCCTTTAAAAATATTAATAAATATATAAATCATTGTATATATGCATAGCATTTCATTCTGAATGTTATATAAGCTTTTCTGAAACTTGATAATAATGATGAATGCACGGAAGCCTCCTGAAAAATATCTATCTTTGGATTTTTTCTTAATATCTACAAATGTCACATTTTCAAACATTCCCCACACTGCCAAATAGAAATCTTATGAATATATATGAAAATTAAAAATATTTTACAGTTAAAATGTGATTATTTTAAATAAAACTTTTCACATTCAATCATGTTTTTTCTGTGTCAATCCAGTTTTGTTTCTCTTAAGTTTTAAGGAAAATGTGCCATTTCAGCCATTGAGATACCTAAGGTACAGTTTCAAAGTATCACGTGGCTGTTCAGTTTGTACAGTGAAGGCTCTTGCCTTGCGACAATGAAACATAAGCAAAGATACAAACATGGTCAATCCAAATGCTACAACTTGTTAGTTCAGCAATCAGGAGATTGTGAGCCAGAAAGAGCCTGAATTCAAGGCCAGCCTGTGTAAACTAGTAGACTATCTCAATAAACTAGAATTAAAAATCAATCAAAAAGAACTTTGGGAATCCTGTCCTCTGTATTCAACTGAAATGCATAAACCTTTTTTTTTCTGAAAAGATCCAGGGCACTGCCATGGGCGACTGATATAATAAATACAGTATCTATCCATAAGGTGGATACAATACAGTGATGAGATCTACCTCTGTGGGAACCCCAGCACTCATCTTTGTCTACCATGGACCACAGATTTTTCAAAAGCTGAGTTTAAACATGTTGCCATATGTTGTGATGACATTCAATTCCCAGATAGGAGTCTTCCTCCATTGGCAGTCAGGATTCTACACACACACACACACACACGCACACACACACACACACACACACACACACACACATTCTTCCATGGGTAGGTTTTCATTCTTAGAATGCCAAATAAAAAGGAAACAGGGAAAGAGAAGGAAGACAACAACTCAAAAGGAAACGAGCTTTTGAAAGAAGGAATAAGAGAGCCATCTTTGTCAAACATACGGGAGCAAACTGGAAGAGCTTTAGAGGACAAGCTCTTTTAAAGTTTGGATCCTCCTGTACCTGCCGCCTTACTCTATCTGAGGGAGTAGTTTTGGTAACCTGCAGACCTGCCATCCTGAACTATCTACAGAGAGCTGCAAGAGTTCAGAACTTAGTCTATCAAGTATAAAATGAAAAGTTATGATTCGTACTTAGAATAGTTTTAATGAAAAGGAGCTAATGAAAAACATCATTGATGTATTTGTGTGTCACGGCTACTGTTATAGTAGATTCACTTTTTAGACATTCCCATAGGCTAGTATGGTGGCTATTTGGGGCAGAGAGACTTTGAGACTTCTGGTAAAAAAAAAAACACTTCAACCACATAGTCCTTTAAATATTAAAATCAAATTCTTCATTACCAAGCTTAGAATTTTTTAACTATTTTTCATAATTTCATGCATGTATATAATACAGTTTGAGCACATTCCTTCCCTACACTCTCTTATTCCCCTCATACCCTATAAACCCCTCAACTTCCCTCCAGAAAACCTCCATCCATCTTTCATGTCTTCCATTTTGGTTTTGGTTTTGCTTTCTCACCCACTGGCTTTAACTAAGGCTGCCCATGTGAGCATGGATGTGGAGCTATGCACTGAGCATCCCCAGTGACTGAAGATGGTGACTTCTTCTACCTCAGCAGCCTTTGACTGTCAGTAGCTCCCTGGGCAATTGACCAATGAGCTCTTCCTCCCTCTGTGACTTGAATGTTTAAGGACTCAGTCTTTTGCTGATCCTATGCAGGCAACTCCCTCCACTGTGAATTCATGAATGCCTTGAGCCATGCCATGCCCCTAAGACAGCATTTCACAGCCCTCCTCCCTGTGGTTGGTTCTTCTGTGATGTTCCTTGAGCCCAAGCTTAGTATTTCTTTAAAAAAATATATTGCATGTGTATCCATGTTGTATGTATGTGGGTATGTGCATGCCAGAGAACACATATGGCAATCAAAAGATAACTTCATGGAGGTGCTCCTCTACTTCTACATTTATGTGGATTTGAGGATCAAACTCAGGTCATCTGGCTTACACAGAGTGACGGTTTGCGTGAGGAGTGCCCCCACAGTCTCACACGTTTGAACACGTGGTCAGCTGGTGATGCTGGTTGGGAAAATAATGAAATCTTTAGAAGGTGTGGTCATCCTGGAGGCAGTTTGCCCACTTCCAGTCTGCCTCTCTCTGCTTTCCTGTACCTGTTTGAAGATGTGAGCTCTCAGCTTTCTGCTCCAGCTGTTTCCTCCCTTCCCTCCACACCATGTTGGACTCTTATCCTTCTGTAACTATAAATCCAATAAATTTTTCCTTCTTTAAGTTTCCTTGGTCATGGTGTTTTATCAAAGCAGCAAGAGAAGTAACTGATCCATATAGCAAGTGCTTTTACCAACTAAGCCATTTTTTTGGCCTACAAGCTTAGTTTTCTTGATGGAAGAAATACTAAGAAGCGGATGTTTATTTTTTTCTAAATATATTTGACCCCTATTCTTTTGTTTGTTGCTGTGGAACCAGTGTTTTCATTGTTCTGTGAAAGTGTTACCGTTTTCCTCAGATAGGATTACATATTTGTTTTGAAGTTCAGAAATTCCATGGTTTTTATATATTTATTACAAGATAGCATGTAAAAACACTTTGGAATTAATCCTATAGCTACCCACGTAGGACACTTGTAGACAACTACCATTGTCAGTCAGTAATCCACCTGGCAGGTGGCACTTCATTTTTATTCTTTATGCACATAAAGCCTTGTTTGAATATTTTAATGAACAGTGATCAAATGGCAAGAGATAAGAATTATAGGTACAACCCAATTTACTTAGTTATCATATTTTACTTAGTTATATTTAAATTTCTGTTTTGGCAAGTAAGAGTTATACTTTACTACTGAAGGATTTCAGTTATTCAGAAAGACAGCTTATTGAGCAACTCTTTCCTTTCCCTCCTATCCCCATTCTTGGGTCAATTTTTTGAGTATCTATTACTTATTATAAGTAATGAGACACAGAAGTTAAATAATCTGTTTATTTGCTTGCTTCTCTTCTTAGTAAAAGAACTATTTGTGGATAAAATCCAAATAAAAATTATTTGTAAATCTTATTTATGTTTTTAAAATCTTTCATTAAAACTATATTTAACATAGTAAAAACTAACACAAATTTCATATTCTCCATTCTCTTCTTCAAATATTATTCCTATCAGCAGTTTGAGGACATTTTCAAACTCTTTCATACATTTGTACACGTAATATTTACATACATGCAAGTTTGACTGATGTTTATTTGGCTGATATGCACAGATACAAAGCTTTATGCTGTGGGAATAGAATTCAAGCTTTCCATTTTAATTTGTATCTTAGAGATATTCAGCACGGAGCATCTTCTTTTCAAAGTTGCATGCTATTCCTTAGCACAAGTATTATAAATTATTTTTCTATACCCCTCTTCATAGATATTTCTATTGTTTCTAGTTCTTTTGCTCTTAAAGATAGTATATCATTTTCTTTATATTGAGTGTTTTTTTTATGCAGCCTTGCACATGTCCTTGTTTTGGTTGGCTTTTGATTTTTTAATTTGCAAAAATTGCTTGAAAACTGTGGGTATAATTTGTCTATTCTGCACATGTAATGAAGTTTCCTCCAAACTTAGCATTAAAGTTGGTTATATTGTTGCTCAACTGTTAAAACTTTTATATAGCTAAAGCTATCAATCTTCTCCCTCCCTCCCTTCCTCCCCCACACCTCTAGCTCTCTGCAGTGTCTCCCTATGTCCCCAGCTGGCTGAGTTGATAAGCAAATAGCCTATGTGTCTACATATTTTTATAGTTTCACTATATCAGCTTTACATATCATACAATTATTCTTAGGTAGAAAAGTATTTTAGCTTTTATTGTTTAATAAAATGATATATCTTAGAGGGAAAATGAAAAATTTATTTATATATACTTCTTCTCGCCCCCGCCCCCCCCCCCCCCCCCCCCTTTTTCCAAAAAAACGACGTGCTTCACAATTCCTGGTGAGAAAACGTCGTGCGAATTCCATACTTGAAGAAACCAAAAAGGGTAATCTTGAAAGAGAATGCATTGAAGAACTGTGCAATAAAGAAGAAGCCAGGGAGGTCTTTGAAAATAACCCTGAGACGGTAAGAATTTATGGGCACTATCAAGTCCGCACACTGAGTCACGCACTTATAGACCGAAGACTGACAGCTTAAGTTCCCTTGTGTTCCATTTGAAAGCTTATAATTTTGTATATCATGTTCCACCTGCTACCTCTAACGATTCAGGAGGAAAGTCAATGATGTGTTCTGATCAAACTTCGTTTCCCTTAAACCTCATTATTAGCACGTAGTATTTACTTCATGATTTGTGATTTTTTTCCTAACCCAAATTTGGTAGCACTCGAGGTGCAAGAGAGGATGTATCTGAAGTATAATGTGAGTGTGTATAGACTTGTACCATCACTGGGCTTTACTAAAACATTTCTCTCTCTCTCTCTCTCTCTCTAAGTGATTGAGGAAGACAATTGACATGGAACTCTGGTCTCTATACACCGTCACACATAAGTGCACGTACACCCATACACGGAAGCCTCTCTCTCTCTCTCTCTCTCTCTCTCTCTCTCTCTCTCTCTCCAGTTTTGGTTGGTGGTTTGATGTATTGGAGGTAGTATCTTTCTCTGTTACCCTGGAATCCATTATCCTTTCGCCTCTTCCTCAGCCTCCCAAGAACTGAAGATTTGAGAGTACAGACTGATGTGCACCACCAAGCCCAACCTCACCACATGTCCTTATCCAGGCTCTAGACAGGGCCCTCTAAGGGAGATCATGTTGCAGTATTATGTGTGCTGACTGTACTTTATTCCAAAACCTTCCAAAAGTTTCCTGAGCCCATTGATAATCAGAAGTAACCTTCAGTGTATAAACATTTCCATGTTAGTCCAGAAAACATAACCAAAAGAGATCTCTACATATAATATGGAAATGTCGGACCTATGGTCCCCCCATTTTTAGGAGATAATACTCAGTAGCATGCTTGTGGCTGGCAGGAATAGAAATAGTACTGCTAAGATGAAGTGTGCAACCCTGAGAGTCTAAGTCTGATTAACCTTCATGGTTTCCTCAACGTTTTTCCTGAGAATTATATAACCTAGAGTAAAAGAGGGCGAAGACACATCCAAAGCTCTTCTTGTACCTCTGCCACAGCTCTCAGGATCATGAGAATAGCTCAGTGATAATGAGCAAGAACCCTTTGTCTGTCGTGCCCAAACTGCAGCTACTTGCATTCTCTGGGACTGCTCCAGTGTCCCTTTTTTACCCCCATGTGTTCTTATAGGTTCAAAGAGATTTTTTTCAGAAGTACCCAAAGATTAATTTTCAATTTCTCCAGGATTGGATCAAAATGTTTCTTGTTCTGTTTTGTTGCTTTTTTTGATAAGACAATAGCAATACAAGAATGTTTATCTTACACGATATGGTGACTACTCATTGTGTAGGATTTTACATATACATTCTGAACTTCACATTTTCCTAGTAAAAAGGAATGTGTATACACTATTATATTTCTATTATGGAAATTCTATAAGTAGAGGACCATTATAGAAAACCCAGTCAACCTGCCTCCCTTCCAATAGCAACCAAGTCTACTATTCTTATTTTGCCTGTTCTCCACTCCATCCTCCAATTATTTTGATAAACTGTTTTGAGTCCTTATATCATATTATTATATCATCCATAGATACTTGAGTATATATTTCTGTGTTGTAGCTATATTCTTAGAACTCAGCTTTTAAGTTGCAATAGAAAAGGGAGATAGAAGTGCAAAGGAGGGAAAAGGAAAGAAGATGGAGAGGGAAATATCACTCTTGCATTTCCTTACTTTCACTAACATTGGTTTTGCTGACAGGTCCCATCTGCCCCAACCACATCCCTCATACCTGTGGTACATGTTCCCAAGCTTCCCTTGTTCCTCACCTCCTTGATCTCTCTAATATATTTTCACCACCATCATGTCACCACTCTTTGAGCCCCTTTATTGTTGCTTCTCATCTTGACTTTGCTATCATCTGAATGATTTGGTAGATAATTCCTTTCTTAGAAACCAATGGGTACAAGCTTTGTAGGTTTATATGATTGGAGGAAACAGTGTAGAAGATTTTGTGTTGGAAGAAGATATGTCCTACTTTTACTAAGTTGGAACTTTAAGTATGTTTTTATGCAGAAATTTGAGTTTTGCCTGAAGTGTTCTTGTGCTATTTATGCTACACATTAGATATATTAAGACTTAAGAATGTTTTTGTGACTGATACAGACAAGTTATTGTCAAAAACTTCCCCTTTCACAAAATACATTTTATTGTCCACATTACTGATTGTTATTTTGGTGCTCACCAATTTATAAAGAAGATATTACATGCACATTAGATGCAATAAGGTAAGTGTTCACTTTAGTTCACTTCAAATTATGTCATTATTAGCCAACATTGACTCCAGTGTGGGTAATCATCATGACCTAAAATGTGTCATGTGGATGCCTAATCACTATGGAAAATTAAAGGATTTACAAAAGAGTGCATTTATGATTATATTTATCATTTTTAAGTAGAACCTGTTCAGATTAGAAGCTTTTGAAATGCTATTTAATTGTTCACTGGTGCTTTAAACCTAGATATGTACTGGTTAGGTATTGGTCATCTATTCACTTTTGGTGTATTTTTACATAGAAAAAATTACAATGTGAAAATGGAATGTGTGATTATTCCCATTTTAATGTAAAAACAAATTATAAAAATTAATCTTTAACTCTATAGTGAAATTTGGATTTGCTAATGTATATATTTTTAATTTTCTTTCTAGGATTATTTTTATCCAAAATACTTAGGTAAGTTCAAAGTATTTCAAGTATAATCTTAGAAATTGAAAGGTATTTAGATATGTTCAAGACTCACTTTCTATCCATATATCCCATTCAATAAAATTTACCATCTCTTTTATTTTCTTGAGACAGGGACTATATAGCCCTGGCTGGCCTGGAACTCTCTGTATACCACTTTGGTCTTGAACTCACAGAGATTTGTCTGCTTCTGCCTCCTAAGCATTGGGATAAAAGGCCTGTGCTACCACACCTAGTAAATTTCTTTCATCTTTAATTATATGTGTATGCCTATGGGAATGCACATGTACAGGTGTAGTTACCCACAGAGTCTTTCTCTTAAAGGATCTTTGGGATGATGATTCATTGTACTAAAAACCAGGCATTATCTGTAAATATGTTTTCATGGACTATCCTTCAATGAAATGAAAGAAAATGATCTAAGAAAAAAAAAATCCATGAACTCTTCATATAGTATGGTACACACAGTAACATTGTAGAAGTCATTAACAACTCTCTCTGTGTGATGCCATTTTCTCAGTCTGCAGTATTCCATTTATGCTCTGTTTTGAAATCTAGACTCTCAACACTGAGAACAATTATTTGTACATTCATGTAGATTAGATGACTTCAATTAAATTCCAGCTCAAGATAACAAAGCTTATTTTTTTTTAAAGTAAACATAGACTGTTTCCTTTGGGAGTTATTATTGTTTCCAATTATACTAGAGTATAAGTTGTATGTCTGTCTCTCATGTGATTCTCCACAGACTTAGAACACAGAGGTCTGTTTTCTTTCCTCCATTTGTTTCAGATTTGTTTTTGGGTTTTTTTTTTTGTTGTTGTTGTTGTTTTTTTGACTGTGCTTGTTTTTACTCTATCCTCATTGAAAGCCAAGTAGAAATAAAAAAGTAAATATTTGGGGAAAATATAGAGAGTGCCTGATATTATTAGTTTAGAATTATAAATAAAGTCTTATAAATGATCATTGCTATTAAACTAATTTCTCCTGAAATTTTGATGTGATTAAAATTTAGGTCTTCTTATTTTTATTTAATGTTTGTCTTGTTCTGGGTACCCATGTAACATTTCCAAGCACTGTTTTGAGATGGAGGAATATTTATACTTTTGCTCCTTAGGGAACCTTATATTGAAATAATACTATGAACTTATCTTTGTCCTGTAAGACAATTAGGAGGCAAAGAGTCCAAGACCACTGGTACAAGATCTTCTTTTAGAACCAGGTGCTCCTTCTATAGCTCTGGAGATGATTACTCTTCCATCTCTTTTCTTTTTTTTTTTTTAATGGACATGATGGTCAGCATCTTATATGTGTGGTACTTGCTGAGCTTGGGAGACTTAGCTATACTATTCAGCACTGTAGTTCATCCTATTAATAATTGCAAGACATCAATCAGTTCTACTGTTTCTCTTTCTAGAACACAACAAGATCTTAAACTACCAACCTCTATGAGGTGTAGTTTCCTCATTTGTCACATGGATAGGTCATTTTTCAGCAAGAAATATAAGTAAATACTGTTTCCAAAGCACTTATTAAAATGTACAGTCTACTTGTTGGCTTCATTTTCTTTCACTAACCTTCCAATTTCTATAAGCTCTGCTTTGCTTATTCCTATTCTTTTTTCTTGTTCAATTATAACGAGTCTGACCCCATGCAATTTCCACAATCAGATAAGATGGGGTGCATTCAGGGTGGTTAGGCCAAGAGTTTTCTTTCCTTCCTAGCTATTAATATCAATATTGAACATTTTCTTTCAAATCTGGAAAAAGAACACCACAAACATTAGTTGGGATGTGATGTTATTTGTGTCTATAGATATGAACTACAACAAGATTATGTAAAATGTTTTTCTGCCACATCTTTTCTTCCACACACAGAATAAATGTGTTCATTGATGGAAAAGATCTTTTTATATAGTTATAAAACAAAACATTTTTTAAAATAAAAGTCAAGGGTTTGCAATGTTGAAATAGAAAATGGTAGTTTACCCAGACTATTTCAGCCTCTTAACTTTAGATGGGAATTTAAGTATTTTTTTTAATGAAAGAGACACTATTTAGCTACTAAAATTACAAGCTTACATTGTATTAACGTTGTTTCTTAGAGCTGTGTAAGAAGGCAGTGTTTCTGCAGGAGCAACAGACTAAAAGATACATTCTTTGATCACAGAGTACATTTGAAAAAAGATAAATAATATTTTAATACAGTACTATGTGCTTTGAGGAGATTCCTTAAATTACATTTTTCTTTTCTTCTTTTATTTCTTTCAGTTTTCTCTTTTCTGGTTCTATCCAAGTTTCTCTTTTAACAGCATGACAGAAAGCTAAAGTGCAAAATAAAACACAAAAACTGACATGTGGGCTCTAGTCCCAGACTTAAAATCTATAGCTTTTGGGGCTGGAGGGATGGCTCAGTGGTTAAGAGCACTGACAGCTCTTGCAGAGGACTGGGTTCAATTCCCAACACTCACATGGTGTCTACAAACCGTCCTTAACTCCAGTTCCAGGGGAATCCAATGCCTCTTCTGACCTCCACTGCATTGCACGACACGGGTGCACTCACATACATACAGGCAATACACTCATACACATAAAATAAAAATAATAAAATATATTAAAAAATCTCTAGCTGTCAGTCATATGACTCTTTGGCTTCTATATTTTTATATGTAGACTATGACTATATTTTCTAACTTCAGAGTTCTTGGAATATCAATATGTAGCAAATCTATTATGTATATACATATTGATCATTCTTCAAGTATGAAATGCTGTTATTTATGCCATCATGTTAAACAAAAATTCTTTTGATTGTAGCTTGCCTTTTGACTGAAATTTTATACTTTGGTCTTATGGGTATAAGTAGTGAACTCCCCTGATGAAAGAGAAAAAGAAAATCTCTTACCAAACTTAAACTTTTATGTCATTTCATATGTATATTCTGTGGGGCAATCATCCTAATTAGAAAAAAAAATTGTGTAATTCTGCCCCTGATAAACATAGTAGTAGTTTTACTTATGCACAACTCAAGCCAGGATCTCCTTACAGTGTGAAAAAGTCACTCAGGAAATAAGAGCATTGAAACACATGCTTTTAAGATGATGTTTAGACTTAAAATTTCAGAGACTGGTAAAGCACTTTCTGTGATTACATACACCATCTACACCCTTAAAAACACACAATTTCAAATAGAAGCATCCTGGTTTCACTGACACATTTGTCACCTAGATAGAAATAATTCACACAATTCATAGACTGCAAAAACTAAACCACTTACTAAAATGTAGTTTCATGGGCTAGAGAGATGGTTCAGTGATTAAGAGCACTATCTACTGCAGATGGCCTGGGTTTGAATCCTAGAACCCACATGGTGGCTAACAGGGGTCTATAGCTCCAGTTCCAGGGAATCCAGCACCCTCTCCTGGCCTCTGTAGACACTGCATGGCACTGGTGCACTTACATGCAGGCGTAACACTCATCAAATAAAAAATTAACAAGTTAAAAAGTGTTTAAATGTAGTTTATTATACAAACATATTTCTATATAAATTTATAAAAGCAAGTTTATAAACTTTTTTTTCACTGCTGAAGATTGGGCCCAGTCCTTGCACATGCTGCCACTGAGTTATACCCCCACACTGTGGATTATAGCTTTTAAATTGTAGTCTTTTTTCCTTTAGGAAGTAGGATAATCTTACCATCTATCTACACAAGCCTTTGAAAATGGCATGTGCTAGAGTAGGTAACTCTGTTCATGGAGGAAAACGTCTCAGAAGTAATGGTAATGGTAAATTCTGCACCTAAAGGTGAATATTAGAAATTATTTTTAGAGGCTGGGTGTAGTGGCACATGCCTTTAATCCCAGCACTCAGGAAACAGAGGCAGGTGGCTCTCTATGAGTTAAGGCCAGCCTGGTCTAGCTGAGACTACAGGGAGACTCTATCTCAAAATGACCAAAGGGGAAAAAAAAAAAGAAAAAAAATCATTTTTAGGACTAGAAATGCAGCTCAGTGGTAGAGTGCTTGGCTAGCAGGCACATAAACCTGGGTTCAATCCCTAACATATTAAAAAGATCAGTTTAGTTTCTAGATCCTTCTAAATTGGTAAATTAACCCAAGCTTCTAACTTTACCCTTTTAAATAATCTCTAGAGAAACAATAGAATTCCATGTAGTCATGATAACAAAATAAAATTTTAAGACAAGAGGAAGTAGGCTGGTGTCTGGTTTCATGTGGTGTGAGAACTAACCGCTAACATAACAGAAAGAAGACAAGATACAGTCTTTAAAAAGGTGGCACTTTCAAAAGAAAACAAAAAGTACATAGCATAAAACCAAAGTAAAAAGAAAAAAAGGTAAAATGGAAAATAGCAGAGAGAAATTTGAGAAAAGCAAAATACATTCCTTAAATAGGTTTGCAAATCACAGAAGCAGTAAGAAATTGAAATATGTATTGACTTCAAATGAGCCTTTCAATCTATCTCTTACAGACTGCATTTTCCAAAGATGGATAAAAATATCTCCTGCCCCTCAGACTCTCTGTTGCATCATTTATCACCTACTTATCAGGAGGTGATACTAGATTCCCCACCCTCACATCTTTGGGTGGATCCTCGATTACTTTTATCATAGGGGATGGTGGCAGTGATACAAACCCCCTTAGAGGGCCTCACAGTTTCTGCTTTCTCCTGGAAAGCTAGCTGCTATAAATTAAGGGCCACTTTTAGACGAGCATGGTGAAAGAAACTCTTCCACATCAAGAAGCCCTGACATATGATATTCCATATATAGAGAGAGGAGAGGGAAGAGCCAGACAGTGTGAGCTGTCATGTATGTGAGGGAGAAGCCATCTTGGAAGGACTTTTTACCCTAGTCAGACAATTTGACCGATTCCACTGTCTTTAGTGGACTTGCAGTTACCTCAACCAATTCCAAATAAATACTTGACCCACAAATCATGGGTAAAATAGCTATTATTTAAACTAATAATCT